ATCTAGTTAGTGAATAACCCTCTCCCTTCCTCCCCACCCTCGTAATCATCAAAGAATGTTTTCTTCTGTGTTTAAACCTTTTCTCGAGTTCTTATAATAGTGGTCTTATACAATATTTGTCCTTTTGTGACTGACTAAATTCACTCAGCATAATGCCTTCCAGATTCCTCCATGTTATAAGATGTTTCACGGATTCATCGTTGTTCTTTACTGTTGGGTAGTATTCCACTGTGTAAATATACCATAATTTGTTTATCCATTCGCCCGTTGATGGGCACCTCGGTTTTTGTCCATCTTTTTGATATCGTGAACAGTGCTGCAATGAACATGGGTATGCATATATCTATTTGTGTGATGGCTCTTATTTCTCTAGGATACATTCCAAGGAGCGGGACTGCTGGATCGTACGGTACTTCTATTTCTAGCTCTTTAAGGAAGGGCCAAATCAATTTCCAAAGTGGTTGTACCACAAAGTGTCCTTTTTTAAAATGCATATAGCTTACTTATTACTTTAACTAACTTAGTTATTACAAACTAATTTGGAAAATGGTCTATTCTTAACAAATCTGAATGAACAAAATTTATTTGATTTTTATTAGCTTCCAGTAAATAAGAAAGCTGTTCATCCTGTTTAAATGTGTTCAGCATGCTAAAAATAACTGATGATGATCCTCTATACTACTTTGATTAGAAAAAGGAGTACAATATAGTAACAAACCTCAGACTGAAAAACTGATGTGTTCTAACGAGTATCCACAATCCCCTTCGTACTTCATCCTGTCCCACTCCCAAAGGTTCTTTTAAGTAATTTGAATTTTCAAAGTGAAGTCCTTGTGTCAGATATATTTTTCTTTTTTTAATCTGTATTTTTTTCAGTTTTTCAAAATAGGTAATATAGTCACATAGTTAAAAAATTTTAAATTGTTAATGGTTGGACAATATGATGAACATAATCAATGTTACTGAATTACATATGTAAAAACTGCTGAACAGGAAATCGATCGAAGACCTAAATATAAAACCAAAAACTACAGATTATGGAAGGAAAAAATAGGATCAGCACTAGGGGCCCTAATATACGGCATAAACAGCATACAAACCATAATTAACAATACATAAATACCAGAAGATAAGCTAGATAAATGGGGTCTCCTAAAATTAAACACTTTTGCTCATCAAAAGACTTCACGAGAAGAGTAAAAAAGAGAACCTACAAACTGGGAAAAAAATTTTGGCTATGACAAATCCGACAAAGGTCTAAACTCTAAAATCTACAGGAAAATCCTACACCTCTACAATAAAAAGATAAATAATCCAATTAAAAAATGGGCAAGGATATGAACAGACACTTCAATAAAGATACTCAGGCGACTAACAGACACATGAGGAAATGCTCACGATCACTGCTGTTGTCGTTAGGTGCCATCAAGTCAGTTCTGACTCACAGCGACCCTATGTACCACAGAACGAAACACTGTCTGATCCTGCGGCATGCTCATAATCGCTGTTATGCTTGAGCCCACTGTTGTAGCCACTGTGTCAATCCATCTTGTTGAGGGTCTTCCTCTTTTTTGCTGACCCTCTACTTTACCAAGC